ACTAAAGATTAAGATTGTTAGAAGTAAAAGAAGGAATATAAAGTTGGTTTATTTGATCATGGTTAAAATAAATATGTTGTTATCTCTGATAACCCTTAATGGAATTTTGCTGACACCAGGATTGAAATGACAATGCTTTATGGATATGTTTATACTGTAGATAAGAGATGGGTTAAGGGAAGAAGAGATCATTTGTTGTATTTTAAGAGGAGGTGATAAGTTACTAAAATTGTTTATACTTGTGATGAAGATAGGAAGTCACTTCTTTATATATTTTTTTCTTTACTATATTCTTACTTTTCTTACCCTTCTCTTTTTTTCTGGGCAGATGGTCATACTTTTCCCATCATTTAATTTTTAAAAAAAAAATGTCTGTGGTCTTAGTACAGCCTACAGACATCTATGGAAACAATGACAGATTCTCCTGCCCAAAAGAGAGGGGCATTTAGGCCATTACATAGTGCAAATGAGAGGAAGAAGCACAGAATTGAACGCTGAGTTTACTGTAGAGAAGACACTTTTGATATGCCATTGTCACTGGAATTATTTCATAATGGTTTCTTAGCTTTTCTACAATAAAATTGTTTATCAGTTGTTACTGGATTCTTGTGTGTTTTTTTTAACTGATTCCAGCAGTCTCCTGGGAAGAAGCTTGACAGTGCAAATTCTCCATGTATTTATTTTTAATTAAATGAAACCTAAATAAATGCAGGTAAGGCAGGGAGCCTGGGAGGTTGCAAGGAAGGCATCACCAAACATATTAACCGTTGAGGATCCAGGCAGTTCAAAATACAATATAAAAATATGATGAAAGGCAAATTATTAATCAATAACAGCTTGAAAAGCTACAGACAAATGGTAAAACAGCTTAAAATCCAAGATTCCTATGCAATGACAGCTAAAATGAATAGGCAGCTCAAATGATTATTTCAGAAATGGTCTTTACAGAGCAACGTAAGGACATCAGAAAAAGAAAGGTGAGCTCCAGAGTTCTAGAGTATGGTTGGCTGGGGAATTCTGGGAGTTGAAGTCCACACGTCTTCAAGTTGGCAGGGTTGAGAAACACTGGCCTAGATGCATTCCCATCTAACCTGCAATGATGGGATGAATGGGAAAGCTTCTCTAAAACCTCTTAATATAGGAAAAAAATACTAAGCTATATAGAGCTTAGGCAGATCAATCCTAAATCAAAATTGGAGACTTCCTGTGTACAATTCCTATCCTTTAGGAATGGCAGACCAAATTAAGGAGAATCTTTTGCTACCCTTCCTGTTTTCTTGTTTTTGTTGTTGCTTTTAAATCATTAAGAGGAAGCAAGTAGCTGATCTAAATCTTACCATTTGTACATTGTCCAGCATACATTAAAGGGATGGATTTTGATTCTTTCAGGTTGAAAGACAGGGCAGCCTACATTCAACCCATCTTCACACTGTTATGGAGACTCTTTTCTGAACTGCATCATGCTTCTTTAATCTGTTCTAGGGAGAAGAGATCCTTTCACAAGGATCACAAGTAACTGAAGCAGAAGAGACAGAGATTTCCACGCTCTCTAGAAAGGATCCTGGAGAGGTATTTATTTAGGGGCAGATTATTTGCTTGTGGTGGTGGCTCTATACTTTGCTTTTGGTAAAGACCAGCACTATTTTTTCCCAAAGAGGTGCAGGCTCTAGGGGAGTAGGCAGTAAAATACAAGGAAAAAATTAACACAAGGATAGGCAAGACATTCCAAACTATTCCTTTCTGATATATGAACAAATGGCAGCAATGCTAATCTGTTTTAAAAAGTAACAAGTATATGAATGTGCAACTGAATTACAGTTTTTTTCCTCTGTTTTAATAGTTAGGTATCATGGTAGCCCTTGAGAAGTGACTACTAAGTTCATTGCTCACAAAACCCCCTGTATGGTCTTTTCTGTTAACCATATATTCTGCAGTCTTGGCTACTTCCACCACTTATTTCCTCACTTTTATTTGATAAAAAACTTAGTAGCAAACACATAGAGAGGGAAAGAAAAGTTATTAACTGCTATTTCTTGCCTTTTCTGCAAATGACTGACTTTATCTGTGCCTAGACAACTTCCAGTTCTACAAAATTGGCTGTACTGCCCACAGGGCAGGAGGCCTTCAGCTTACGTGAATAACAACAACACATTTTAGCAATGCATACTAAATAGCTTTTTAGCAGCTGATGCTTTACTGCCAGTATGGCAAGTACATCTTCAAACTTCAAGATACGGGTTGCTAATTAGGAACAATGCCTTTTGCTGCCTTATTCCTAATATTTAGGAAAAATCACTGGATTTTTCCTGAAACCTAGAATCTCTCATTCACTTAAATTCTTTTTTATATTGATCCTTTAAATACTTATACAAATTCCCTATTATTATTTAAAAATTAACAAAATACTGCTTATTGTAAAGGATATATTCACTATGATGTTAATTTATAAAAACAGAAAGAACTAGGAAAAAAATCTGACCACTGTCATTTTAGCAACATTTTTTTCTGAATTAAACGTCACTTCATAGGGTAGTGCTGAGCGATGATGCTCAGGAATAAAGATTTTGAAAGGATTACTCAATTTTTCCCTTTCAGAAGATGGGGAAAAAAGTGATGGTTCATCATTCAGATGATTCAAATCTTTTCTTTCATTTACAGAAATAAGACCGACCCTAATAATATTGATAGTCAACTGCAATTCCATTTGTAATTTATGGTGCAAGCATGATTAATTATTGCTTGGAGATTTCTGTCTAAAATTAGCTCCCAAGTTGGTCTAATTTGGACATATATGGAGTAAAACATCCAGTTAATTGAAATGTAAAGAATTAAAATTAATTGGAATGTAAGATATTAAGATTAAGCATGTCATCCAGTCTGTTTGTCTGGGATTGGAGAATTTAGATATTATTTGTATTCCCTACTCTTCATTGTTTAAACATTTGGCATTTTCCGCTCCCCAGGCAGTTGAGGAAAAGGAAGATTCACAGTCTGAAGGTAGAACGGACACCAATGATAGTGATGAAGACAGCTCTGATTAGAATGGGCTATAATTCTGGGTTGGCTTAGATTATTGGAACTTAGAAAATGAAACAGTAATGTTGAACATGTTCTGTATATCACGTGCCTCTATATCCCAGGAAGTTTATAACTGGGATCCAGACAATATTAAAATAAAATTGATGGGCCAAGGACAGTATTATTTGTTTGTCTTTTAATACTCAACTCTCATTATTATTTTGAAAATGAATATATTGAGCACTTTTGTCTCCCCCCCTCATCCATCTCCCTTTTCTTACATCTCCATATCTTTTCCCATGAATATAAAAAAGCAAACATTACAAGTTTTGCTTGGAGTGCGAGAATTAAGATAACTTTCTTAGGAAAGCTTATTGATACCTTTCATGCATTTAACAATTGTGTCAGGAAATGAGCCCAGTCTTATTTAATAATTCATATGGTTGGATATAAAGCAGGAAATATGTTTATATTGACCAAATGTTGGTATCAAAAAAAAAACCCACCTGCCTCAGGTAAAAGACTGCTGTTCATATTTATTTCAGACCTCAAGAGAATATAAAACACAAAGTTGGGGGTTATAAAATAAAAATAGTGGGGTTTTTTAATATAATCTTATGATAGGATTAGAGTATCTTTTTTTATGAAAGCAAGTCCTGATTTCCATTCCTGTTTATTTTTTGATCACATACAAAGCAAACTTGTATGATCAAGCACAGTGAAATGTAGTGATTCTGACAGTCTCAGATTCTGGTTTTTTAATTAATATACTGTTACAAGGAGGCTCCTCCTTTAAGATACCATTTTATAAAAAATATTTAGGAAGATGGGTTAAAAGTGTTTTCTGTTACCTATTTCTCTTCTATGATTTAATGCTATTTTGTATAAATAGATAATTTTTATTTGGTGGCTTTGTGATACAGACAAGATTATTCTTGGTTTTTTCTTCCCAGTTAAACAGATATATTTTCTACCTATAACTGTTTCACTGCATTCGTTTAAAAAAAATATGAGGATTATATGCACATTTGTATAAATTGCTATTCACAGCATAGCGTTCCCCAGAAATACCCAGTATGTCCTACATGTAAGCCCTTCCATTTAAAAAAACTAGTTACCAGCATTTTTCTCTCCCAGTCCACTGAACTTTTTCCCCATCTGTTTTGCACATTTATCCTCACAATTCATGGAAATACGCTTCTATTCTGCATTTCATTTCTCCAATTGCTTATGTACTGCAGTGATCCCTATTTTATGTCAAATATAAATTAATAACTTTGGAATGTGCTTTGGAGACTATTATTTTGTGTGTGAATAGAGAACAAGTCATCATTTTTTTTCTGTATGGTAGCCTCTCAGATGCTTTGAAGAGTGCTTTTATATTCTGTCATCTTCTCAAGGCTAATAATGGCCAGTTCTCTCAATCTCTCTCCAAAGGACAAGCTTCCCACTCCCCAATCATCCTTGAGGGCATCCTTACTTGTACTTAAACTGTAGTGCCCAAGCTGGATACAGCTGTCAAGGCAGGGTGTGAACAATGCAGACTACACTGGAGCTATAGACTGTGGTAGTATAGAAATAAAATAAATAAAAACAATTTCCTGTGATTTGAGAACTATAGTGTAAATCAAATGATGTAGGCAGGGGTACCTTTGAAAATTAGCCTGAAGATAAATGAAGGTTTTTCCATGCTTAGAAGGAGCTGTTTGCCTTTTTGTAATATCTAAACTTCTCTGCAATTTCCTTCTCTTTCCAATTATCTCTTCTCCTCACTTCCTCTCCAACCAGTTTTGTTCTTCTCTTCCTTTTCCCAGTGAAGCTATACCTTCTTCATACCTCATTCTTATCCTCTTATTCTCTTCCAGTTATTTCTACTGAAAGTAAGATAATGTATGTATATTGTGTTTCTGTGAATGAGAGGTTTGTGTAAATTTTAATTCTATTACTAGAAAAGTATATTTTGTAGTACCCTGCCTTTTCATATAGACATTTACATACATGCATATGCAAGTAGGTGCATAACCCACATACCCCCACAGCAATGGATCTGCTTTCACTTTCTTTCTCACAAATGACAACCATCGTCAACAAATGCTGCAAAAATAGAATGTGTGGGCAAGTCTAGACACAGCTAGACCCTTACAGAGATATATACTAGCAGGTTTTATAATCAATACAAATACAAACATGGACCAAGAAATGTCAGGGTGCAGAACTTCTGTATTTAAAATTTATCAAGAAGTTTGATTATATTTATTTAGACTTAAATAGAACCAATAGCCTCATCTTCCCTTTCTATTCTTAAGGAATGAAGCAAAGTTCAGATCAGTGTCACAGCTGTTACTATGAATAATTATGGTATTTACTTTGCACATGATTAAATGTACAGAGAATATGCCAGCTGTCTCTGGCAGTACCTGGTCATTTGACCCCATTTTACATTTTCTCCTAATATGTCCTTGTACAGATGGTAATAATTTAAACATTTGTTTCCTATCCTCATGGTCCTTAATACCCCTAATACAGTATAGGAGACCCATTTGAAGGCCTTGCCTTGTGAGGTGACACAGGCTCAAGTTTCCACTTGATCATAAACCTTAGTAGGAAACGGACTCCCCCAGATGATTTCACTGGGCCGTCTTGGAAATATGATGGGGTGCTTTGAACTCCCAAAGGAAACCTGGGATAACCAATGTGGGAAAAGGTATTTTGTAACCAAAGAGTGGAAGACTCGTGGCCAGCCGTATTTTTGCAACCCAAATCTGGTGTTCCTAAGGTAAATAGCTTTTCGCTTCCATCTCGAAAGCGGAGGATGTTATAGGCTATATCATAAAAAATTCAAACAAAAATAAAGGAAGCCGGCTCCCACCGGAATGAAGCAACCTGAAAGGCCAAAGACAAGGGCAGGCACCCCAATCGGCGCATGACGTCAGCCCTGCAAGCCACTTCCGGGTTTCAGTTCCTCCGACGGGGCCGCTGCAGCCAATGGCGGCGCAGAAGGCAGGAGCCGCGCCGCGCATGCGTGTGAGTGGGAAAGGGGCTGCCCCTCTCGGCCTGCTTTTCGGAGCGTCGTGCGCGCGCAGGCGCCCTCCTCTATCGGTGGGAAGCGAAGCTGCTGCCAGGTGACTCGGCCATGTCGGTGCAGGAGGACCCGGTCCAGCGCGAGATCCACCAGGACTGGGCGAACCGCGAGTACATCGATGTGATCACCAGCTCCATTAAGAAGATCGCGGACTTCCTCAATTCCTTCGGTAGGAGTGGGCGCCGTCCCTCTCGTCCGGCGGGAGGGGCGAAGAAGGAGGCGGACCCTCTCCAAAGGGGCAGCTGGAGACGGGGGGAGCCGGCGCGGCGGGGCGCGGCGGGGCGC